GCGGGAAAAAAAAAAAAAAAAATAGGTGAGAGAGAGAAAATGTGGGTGTGCATATAAGTACCTAATGCATTCCGGGCTTGAATTTTGGAAGCCGGCAGGAGACTGGGACCTTCCGGCACGGCGTCCTGTAGAAGTTATTACCGCGCGCACACACGCACCACAGGCTGACTCGGCTGTAATAATTACACACTAGACACTCCCGTACACGGGCGATTTTGTCGTTAATGAACGCCAGCACACCTGCACTGAGTAAATATAAAAAATCTATTAAAAATTGAAAAGAGTAAGGCATCTCTGTGATGGTTTGCTTATAGTTTTAAATTTACAAATTATCAATATCCGTCACATATGCATTTCAACATGCATAAACTACTTTGTTTATAAGCGTTTTGTAAGTTAATTAAGCCGGTTAATATGTAGTTTATCTGGTTTTGTTTTTTCTTAGTTTTTGTGATTTTAGTTTGGAGGTAGAAGCAAGTTAAGATGATGACATTACCTGGGCCACTACTCACCTACAGGCAATGAGCCTGTCATGGGAGTAGGCGACGACGACACCATGTTCAATCGGTTTTGTTCCTTTACAATGGGATCTAGAAAAAAAAAAAGAAAAGAAAAGAAAAATATAATTATTATTGATTTGTTAGACATATCAATCAAGTTGGTGTACTTAAATTCTTTTTATACAATTAGGAGTTGCAACAAGACAATACGCAAAACTTTATCAATGACATTTACGTGTTGTAATTGATGATATTAGGATAGTAAGCTGAGAACTTACAGAAGTACGGGTGATCCATGGCTTCACGGGCAGTGAGTCTCTCGTAATGATCGTAGCGTAGTAGTTTGTCGAGAAAATCAAGACTCTCGGGTGTAACGAGATGTTGGTTCTCCGAGTGGACGAAGCGCTCCCAGCGCTTGCGCGAATGCCGGCCCAGAATGTCGTTGAAACGCGGGTCCAACTCGATGTGATACTTGTCAAGGTACTCAAACAATTCCTCAGTGCCCAGCACCTTTGCGATTCTGACCAATTGGTCGTAATTGTCGTGGCCATGGAAGAATGGCTCTTTCCTGAATATCATGCTGGCCAGCATACAACCAAGCGACCACATGTCTAGCGAGTAGTCATACATCTGTGAAATACCGAAATTAGTTGCTGTGTTTTAAACATATATAAATATTTGTTTTGGAACTCTAAAATTCTTACTTGATAATCCACAAGGAGTTCTGGCCCTTTAAAGTACCGCGAGGCCACGCGGACATTGTACTCCTGGCCTGGATGATAAAATTCCGCTAGACCCCAGTCAATTAACCGTAGCTTCCGATTATCGTGATCGATCATGACATTATGCGGTTTCACATCCCTGTGCATAATACCCATACTATGGCAGTACTCCAATGCCTGCAAGAAAAAAAAATCAATTAATTAAGATTGTAGATGAGATACCGATTAATTTCTAATTCAACGTTACCTTCAACAACTCATACAGGTAGTATCGTATGTCGTAGTCTGTAAGAGTCTGGTACAGTTGCTTGAAATCCGTGTTGTTAACGTGCTCGAATATCAATGCTGGTGTCCTAGAAACTGGATCCTTAACAACAGCTTGTAGCGTTATAATGTTGGTCCCACCCCTAAGATTCTCTAGGATTTTAATTTCTCTCTTAATCTTCTTCTTTTTGACTGGCTACAATTTTTAAAAACAAACATCAGTTTTGAGCGGGCTTACGACTTTTGTCAAGATAAGTTAGTACTTTTTATCGACCTTTAATATTTTAACGACACATTTTTCGTTATTTGTGATATTGTAAGCCTCAAACACTTCACTGTATTTACCACGGCCCAGTTTTCTAACTAGTTGGTAGTCATCTTGTTGACTGGAAAAAAAATAAAATTACAATCGATTAGATGATTACAACAATGTTGTCACAAACAATTATACTTAAAGAAAAATAGATCCTTACCCCCAATTAACAACGTAGGACTCATAATCCCAATACTCTCTAGGTTTGTGTGAATTAACGTCTGCGTACACTCGTGCTCTACTTGGAAGCGCCATTCTATTGTAATTCTGGCTACCAACAACACTGTTAACGTCCGTCGTCGCACCTAATCTTTCAATCGCACTACCTTGATCACCAATCGAATATGCACACCTTTTTAGCACACGATGTCGCCCTCTCACCCAACTTCCAACATACGAGTGAAGCAGCAGACCTGTTGGAAAAAAAAAAAAAAAAAAAAAAAAAAAAAAAAATGAAAAATCAAATGATACAAAGAAATAGTTGTTTGGTTGACCCTTTACAACACAATAGGAATACTTCATTTGGACTGGCATGCGGTACATTGTAATCAATAGATCAATTTAAACAGCTGATAATGCATTAAAGACTTTATAGAGTTAGTTTAGTAGGTCTTTTAACTAGAAAAAAAAAAAAAAATAAAGACAAATAATTTTTTATAAAATCTAGCGATATTAGAGCGAGAACTAATAAAAATAAGCAATTAATGAAAAATTAAATTACTGAATTTTTATATAGGAGAGAATGATTGCATAATAAATAAAAAGTTTAGGAGTTTTCCTATCGACTCTGAAAAAACTTACGGCTCTAAACGCAAAAGCTATTTTATTGAGCAATTCAACACTCCAAGAGGAGGTAAGTAACAGGTTAATAGATTTTAGCCCTACATGCATGTCACACTGAAAATAAGAAACTCGTTAAACCAAGCACTGCAAGTGGAGTTACATCACAGAAAAATTATATTAATTTTCATTCACAAGATGAAAAATCTTGTCACCATTTAGTAAAAGTAAATAAAAACATTTCTTAATGAAATGTATACACATATCTTAAGAAAAACAAACTCAAGCGTATTACATAAACTATGTTATTATACACCTACACTTGGTAATTGTAGTAATATGAGTACACGTTTGATGTAGGCTCATGAGTAAGTTATATTTATAGCAATGACAAGAATGAGAGTTAAGGTATGGCACGATGTTTACATGCATTTACTTTAAATAAGAGCAGGCCAGATGTTAATTTTATCATTTTAAAAAATTTATCAGTAAGAGCCCTCAAGATATTTACTACTCATGATTAATATTGCTTGTTTACACACTAGGCAAATACCTTGATATGACTTATTGATCTTTTACATACCAGAGTGTAAGCAAAACACTTACAATACACAAAATCAGGCCAAATTGTGTTTTTGATGAATGATGATAAACCAAAGCACATGCAGTATTTTCTTAAATTGAATTGATTCGTACTTGTTAAAGAAGATCAAAGCTAGTTAGCATTGATAAATTAGGTGGTAGCTGCTTTGGCGATCAGTCAGTTGAAAAGTGTGAAATAGAGTACCTAAGCTTGCCCAGAGCAGAAACAGTGTATCGCTCATACCCATAACCAGTGCACGCTAAGTGTAGATTCAGACATCACCATATCAAGTATCAGTGAAGCCTGTAACCAGTGCTATGATAGGTACATATATACATATACAGACTAGCCACAGCGTTTACACGTTCCGTAAAAACTATGCATGCAGATAAGTAGGTACTCGAGTGTTTCACCGAATCTTTGGTCACGACTGAGATCTAAGAAGGCACGGCTTCACGTCGGTTTCCCCGCAAAACAGGTCCACACGCATTCCCGAAAGACCCGCTGTATTTACGAGAGTTGGCTCTAAATATCCGAGAACCTAACCTCCAACACTATCCGCCCTTTCTCCGCGACGCGACAAAACATCATTGCACATTCATCTCACTCTCGACAATCCTAAACTACCCTTGCGTTTTTTCAACCCAGTTATCCCACGATTTCAAGGACGTTTTTGCAACCGATATCGCGGGAAAAAGTACTTGAAAAAACTCACAAGTCACATGTAAGGTCGATAATGCAGGGCATTCGTTATTGAAGAGAGGAACGAGGTGTCGCGCGACGGCGACTGCCGTGATTCTTTTTTTCTTCCCCGAATCCCCGGTGTTCTTGTACCCGAGACACTCGTACTCTCCTTCTTTTGCGAAAGCATCGAGTCATAAGCAGAAAGAATTCGTGCAAATGCAATGGTGAAATAATTTTACTGGAAGGTAAACGTGTTGTACTTCGATTATTGGGGTTAGTATACGACCAGTTTGACCCTTCTCCAAGGAAAAAAAAAAAAAATGAAAAAACAGACTAAGAAGCAGAGAGAATTTATAGGTAGGTTTATACGTACAACAGCGAGAGTGTGAGAGTAACGTGCGTCCTGTGATGTACGAAGAAGGCGTGTACGAGGATGAATCAAGTGACGAAAACGATGTCGTTTACACCTCTTGGGAATCGCCAATTTAATGAAAATACCTTTTTTTTTTTTTCCTCCACAACTCGATTTTAACTTAACATCGGTTGTCTCTTAAATAACCATTTTTTTTTTTATCATACACGTAGGCAGTAGGCACGCGCGCAGCAGCCGCACACACCGTTTACAGTAAAGTAACACGGACATGAGAATCGGGAACTGTAATGAATTGGAGAGAGACGGTAATCTTTTTTTTTACACACACATACATGAGCGCGCGTGTCCCACACCCCTAGAGCACGACTAAGCACCAGGAAGCCGTAAAAGAGAAGCGCATGCACGAAAAAAAAGAGAAAGAACAAACGAAGCGGAAAAAAAAAAAAAAAAATAGGTGAGAGAGAGAAAATGTGGGTGTGCATATAAGTACCTAATGCATTCCGGGCTTGAATTTTGGAAGCCGGCAGGAGACTGGGACCTTCCGGCACGGCGTCCTGTAGAAGTTATTACCGCGCGCACACACGCACCACAGGCTGACTCGGCTGTAATAATTACACACTAGACACTCCCGTACACGGGCGATTTTGTCGTTAATGAACGCCAGCACACCTGCACTGAGTACGTATATAATTTTTGGATCGAAGAGTCAGTTACGCGGATGATGCATACATGTATGTGTTCCGATGTAGGCACGTACGTAGATTAGGTAGGAATTTTATATTTTGTCCAGAGAGAGAGGGAGAAGAGTAGAGCGCGCGTGTGTTGACTGGTCTCGGTGTATAATATATTTTATATTCTCCAGAGGCCAGAGTGTCGCGATGTTAACGGCGACGGCCCGTTACTGGTTCAGTGATGGAGAGAGACAGAGGGCCGCGACTCCTGGGTGTCGTCGTCTTCTCGTAGGGTACGAGTCGATCGTTGCAGGCGAGAGCTAGCCGCGGGCGGCCGGCTTCCCCTTGGTCGTCGGAAGCGCGAGAGAGGCAGCAGCTCTCTCTCCAAGATGGCAGCTGGCGACGACGACGACGACCACGACGACGACGACGGCTCGCCGTGTGTATATTATATGTGTATATACTTTAGGCTAGACGCGCGTATATATGCGCGCCGTATATATATATGTGTGTCTTTTTTCGGACTGACTTTGGAGAATTAGACCTCATCTGCTCTCTCTTCTGCAGGGCAGATATGCGGACACGAGAGAGAACGCGCGCGATCAAGAAGAGAGCTGCCTGACCGACTGAGCTCAGTTGTTACGATGGTTAGGTAAATAGGTACCCCCCATATTTTTTGCACTGTGCTATATGTTATTATTTTTTTCACTTTGTTGAGCTACTTAGTTTAAATTAAAAACAACAAAAATATTGACGAAAAATGTCCTCACTTACACTTGCACGCGGAAAGAAATTAAGTACATGACAGAATTTTGGGTAAAGCCGCGATCACATGGGGAGAGAAGTGAAATCAAAATCAAACATCAAAATCCGCAATGCTCTACTTATCGCAAAATACGCACGGTATTTTAACTTTCATAACTTTTGAGTCCCTTTGAGGGCATCTTTTGATCTTTATTTACCATTGGTTTTAAACACGGTACAATACGAAAATACGGAAAATTGTGTGCGCCTTGTATGTAAACCCAAAATTGCTATTGTCAGTCGTTAATAAGAACGATGGAGAAAAATCCTACTAATCTCTGCCACAGTGAAATTGTGTGAAGAAGTAGTGAAGGGAAAATATCGATGGCTGAAACCGTCATGTTAATTCTTAATTACTCAAAATTTGTAGATAGGTATTCCTGAAAGACGTCTCAGCAGATAACAAGTCCTTACGAAAAAATAATGCTACTTGGAAAGTTTACCTAACAAATACTTTTAATTTAGTAGTTAGTTGACAAGAAATTGTTGGTAGATGCATTTTAGAGCGAAAAAAAAGGCGCGGGAATTAAAAGATTAGCCCCGTCGGTAATTGATGGCACCAAATTATAACAAGTTATAATTGTGAGCATTTATCGATCGTTGGTCAAAAAATTCTAAAAGATGACTTACTGACCGACGTGAATAGAAGAGCGAAATTTTGAAATAAAAATCAAGTTAATGCAATTGTATTTACGTTGATCATTATGTTTAGAAAGACGGATTCTATGATGTCTTGTAACAAAATTGAACTGGAAAAGATTTTGCGTAGAATGTAAAGTCGTAGGTCTACGAAACAGTAAATTATTTGTTATTTTGACGCATGAAATAAAATATTTGTCTATAGTAAACGACTTAACCAACTTAATTTTCAGTTGGCTTATATATATTTAGATATTTTTTCACACAATGCGTCTACCGTTGAACATGTTAAGTATATATTGATTTATTTATGTTTCTCATTTTTAAAGTAATGAACATCTCTCGCATACTTACAAGATACACGTAACTGATACAATACATTTTTATCACCAGAATAAATTAATATAGTGACGCTGTACGTAATGTTTTGTACGAAAAATGTTGCATTCTTTACTTTATATCCATAATGTTTATGCATCTGACATTTCATTGTAGGCCGGTTCGATGAATTTCACTCCCTGATAAGGATGGGGGGTACAATGTATATCATCGAATTTTGCGAACACGTCATCCCTGTGCCGCTTATTTATTTTATATACTATACACAACATGCGGGCTGACAAATGCCCGATATTACTCATCCTCCGCGAGTCTGCATCATTTCCCCTCCCCTTCGTTGTCGTTGCCCGCGGAGAAAAATAGAAACTTGCACACCATGGGATACACCCAATATACTTGCACACCCCATATATATGAAGTAATACATAAGCGCAAAACCGCCGTCTTACTTACTTACCCCGGTGATGCGGACATTGCGAACAAAAGACAATCTTCGTCATCATGAGCATCAGGGAGAGAGAGATCCCTCCCCACCCCTTATCTTACTCATATGTATTATATACTTACTTCGGGGGTGACGAACATGATTTTTCTTGGCTTGGCGAACGCAATAATAAAACTTGGTGGCCCGCAGCTTCTTTATCAAGTATCAAAGTACACCTACACAACAGTAATTGAATATATTTTTTTTTTTTTGCGGTAATTTTATTATTTTTGTTGTGAAGAAAAAAACAAAAACAAAAAAAATACCATTGTTTTCGCATTTAATTGTATTCTTCAACTGTGTATACTTTTTTCGATTTGTCCATTTCTTTTCAGTTGGTTCATATACGATGATGGTATTTTTAAAAACCAATTCGAATTCGACGCTGTGATTGATCTCTTTGTTGTTGTGATGCGGAGGGATTATTGCAACTCACAATAAGTACTTGATAAAAAAAAAAAAAAAAAGATAGATCAAGTGGATCTGGATGTCATATATACTCATATGTAAAAATATACATGTGTGAAATGAAGTGTCACTTTTGTGTTTTATTTTATTTCATTTTTAACAAGTCCAGTACGTTAGATTTATTACGTGTGTATATGTATATGCTTATGGAAACAAAAAGCATTAAAAAGTAACTATACCTATACTTGTTTTGATTTTTGTGTTTCATGTTAAAACTCCTGGTTCCGAAATCTCAAAATTTAAAAATTTCAATGGTGAACCGAGAAACGAAATTTATCGCAGTGCTCTCGGATTTATCAAAGTTTTCATTACTTGATATTTAAAAATGTTTTAAAGTTCACTTTGATTCTTTACGTGTATGTACACAAGTGATTGTTAAGCGATGATGATGATGCCTTAAAAGTATATACAAAATATGCCATGTTTTGCTATGAGTTTTTACATAAGAGATTTGGTGTAGTTACTTCCTTGCAGAAGCTGTCAAAAAGAATACACAACTAAAAATGTAATCAAGTCATCTCGGGAGGCTTATGGCTAAAGAGAAAAAGAGAGAGTAGTTTTCAACGATTGTTTTATTAATACATCACAGCATCTCTTGGAGCAAGAGAGAGAGAGAGAGAGTCGCGCGGATTGTCGATCGAATATATAACTACTCTCTCCGATTTGTATAATAAATTTATAAGAAAGGAGGTGGAAAAAAAACGAAAGAAAACAAAGAATGCGAGTAGGACATACCTACTATCACCACGTAACAGAGAGCAAGCGAATAAGTATCGCGACGTCGTGCCGAGAGACTCGAGAGTTGAAGAAAAATATAACAACATACTATATACCTACCTATAATCGAGAGATATCAATGGATAGTTTATATACACATCATGTACACTTGTGTAAATATATTATCATCACACAGTATAATATAATAGCAATATAATCAAATAACCTTTACCTGCCACAGTTGGTAATTTGGTATGTACTTTTTTAGTCGTGTATACGTCCTCTGTAAGATCTTTGATCGGCGCAACTTACCTATGGATTGACAGGAGTAATTTGAGCTATGATAAGTATAGGTACCCTATATCAACCAGATTCGAGATTCGAGCCGTGTGCTGTGTGTCAGTGTGTGCATCTCGTGCTTCGGACTTCGGAGTTTCGGAGTCGAACTCGTCGAAGTTGAAGTTTTGCTTTGGAGCAGTGTTTGGTTCATTTACTTGTGTAGGAAAAAGAGAGATAGAGAAAAAGAGAATACATATATATATAAAATCAAGTACGGCAATAGCAACAACAAAACTCGACTATAGAGCAGAGAAAAAAAGAGATCCTCGGTTTGATAACGAAAAAAAAAATTAAAAAATCCATTAAATATACGAGAAAAAGGTGCGTGTTTACTATTATCAGCAATATTAGTGTAGAACGAATATAAATATTATACACAATAAGTATAAAATAATTAAAGGAGGAAGAGAAAGAGACAAATTCTCGGAGGAGTGTGTTGCTGCGTCCGTCCGCCCTCACTCTCTTATATATACTAAACCCTCTTCTACCCCCCGGCCCGGGGGGTGTGTGTGCTGTGCGTATACGGCACGGCGCGCGTGTGCTAATAGGTATATGTAGGTACAAAATGTACTGCGTATATAGTAGAGGACGGTCCTCCACCAACAGAGGAGGGAGAGTTTCCCAGCAATATTTTTTGTGAAGAAAAAAAAAAAAAAAAATACTCCGTCGTTGGAAATAATTTGACAATCGTGGCCTGGTGTGTCTAATTGCTGTTGGGTTTTTCGCGATTCGCCACGTGAAAGTGTGAAATAAATAAAGAAAAAAAAATTTTTTTATAGCATGTAGTTGTGTGTGTAGGAAGAGGACTAGAGGACAGTACTACAGAAGAGGAGAGAGAGAGAGAGAGAGAGAGAGAGAGCAGTGTGTGTTTGTGCGGAATTTACTGCGGAAACGACACGGCAAAAGAAAAGAGAGAGAGAGAGAGCAGCCGCCGCGCAAAAGGTGTCCCTGAGCCCCCCCACAGCTACCTCTAGATGGTCGAGAATAAAGGGCTCGAGTGCTTCGGGCTTAAACGCAAGAAGGGCAAGACCAGAAGGGCTGCCTTATTGAACCATTGTGATAACAATCATCGTCCAGTAACGCGATACAGCTGCGATCTTTTTTGTTGTTGTCGTCGTCGTTCTCGTTCTCGTTGTCGTCGTCGTTGTGATCGTTGCTCGTGCAGTGAAGTAATAATAATACTAGCTGCTGCTACTGCTGCGGAAGAGGAGGAGGAGGAGGAGGAGGAGGAAGAGGAACAGAAGGAAGAAACGCAAAGACAGCAGAGAGCAGCAGTTAGACCATCAAGAGTTTGCGTGTTGCCGACTCCGATTGATATTACGACTTCTGGTGATTGTTGTTATTATTGTCGTACTGCAAATCTTCGTCACAGTCGCAGAAGCTGCTGCAGCTGCAGCAACAACGACGACAGCTACGACGGCAGCTACGATTGCCGCCACGGCATTCACCGAGATGGTCGGCCTGGCGGGCGGGGGTGCGCACCTATACCCCTCACCCCCCATGCAGCCTAACCCTGAGTGTGAGTTTACACATTATTGTTACTCTTGTATATACAGCCTTTTTCATTTATTCGTCTTCCCTCACTTTCCTCATGTTCAATCTAATTTTCAAAGATACATAGGCATGAATACATAAACTTGTAGGATGATGTAGGATATTATCAATTGTCTGTTTTTAAGAAAAACTTGATATCTATGCTTGTTGATGATGATGATAATAATTGTTATGTGTGTATGCATGCTTGATGAGTATTATACATAAGTATGTCTCTCAGCTATGGAAAATAATTCTTTCGATGGGGTGTATGATAAGTGAGAGTGCGTTTAAGGAAGAACCTTATTTTCGACAGTTCGTACAGTCTCTCTATGGTAGTTTAAAGATTTCGAGTTCAGCATGTACTGTTGCAGAGATGTGCTTCATGTGTCATATGATGTATGAATCTTGATTTGAAGTGTTTGCTTACAATAGGGATTTTGTTTAACAAGTTTTTATGGAAGAGGTTTTTTTTTAAATTAATAAATGCAGGTCAAGTTGTTAGGTAACAATGACATGTTATCATACAAAATTTGTTGTTTGTTTATTGAGTGCTCGAGCTTGAAATATAAGTTAACGTATGTAATAAGTAATTTGGTTTTTAAAAGGCAGATTATTTTGTTCCCAATGGATTTAAAATGTTTGGTTAGGTGCAGAGTTTGTTTTGGAATGTATGAGTAATTGGGAATTTTCGTTTGAATCTATATGTTTAAAGTGACGAATTTTTGGTTTTGTTTTAAGTTTTATTATCAATGCAAAAATTCAAAGTGTAATTTTACCTTACAATTGTGATTCCAGTAATATTCTGATAAAATTTTTTTTCCCTCCAGTTTTAACTATCAAATACTTAGTAAGTGATATTGATAAATTATTTTGTAGCAAATTTCCAATTCCTAACTGAACGTTTTAGTTAAAAAACCAACCATACTTCAAATTTTCAATAGATATGCTAGCTAGATGGTAAGGAAATCGATCCATTCTTTAAAGACTATCAAATTTATTTACATAGAATCATTACAAAGGAAGTATTCTTTGTAGTTGAAAATTTTAGTGAATTAATTGAACAAGCTCTGTTGTTTTGACTTTATGATCAAAAACTTTTAAAAACATATCCATATTACAATACTCATTTCATAATAATCAATCGTTATAGTTTTACGTACATAGTAATAGGTAATTTATTTATGTTGCAGTGAGGGAGATGCCAGGGATCACTCCAGCCAATGCTCCAACAAGTGCTGACGCTTGTTTGAGCATTGTTCACTCCCTGATGTGCCATCGTCAGGGAGGCGAGAGTGAAAACTTCAGTAAGCGTGCTATTGAATCTTTAGTAAAGAAATTGAAGGTATGTAAATGCACAATTTAGTATTTAATAAAGCATTGTGATTCAAGTTACAACTAACTCATAAACGACAATTATAGGAAAAGCGAGACGAGTTGGACAGTTTAATAACGGCAATCACAACAAACGGAGCGCATCCAAGCAAATGCGTGACGATCCAGAGGACACTGGACGGTCGTCTACAAGTTGCAGGTCGCAAGGGCTTCCCACACGTGATTTATGCCAGAATCTGGAGGTGGCCTGATCTTCACAAAAATGAGCTCAAGCACGTCAAGTACTGCCAATACGCGTTTGACCTCAAATGCGATTCCGTCTGCGTTAATCCTTACCACTATGAGCGCGTTGTCTCACCTGGTATAGGTAAGTTACATAAAATTCGTGTGTGGTGTCTGGCGCTGGCTTTGCGCTTTCTTTTTGCGCTTCTAACAAGGGCTTTGTCATTGTTGATGAATCTTCAGTCAGTGCGTTGTAGTAGCTGAGCTAATAAATTTTTAACTGCTAACAGTTATTTTTACTTTGTTTTTTTTTCGTTAAGTTGGCTTGCTATCTCAAGGGTTGAGCATAAAGTTGCTTCTTTTTTCTGAGCAGTAATTTGCTTTTATAGATCAACACTTCAAAGTTGTTGCATTGTACATTTCAAGTCAGTTCAATATGGATTGCAGCTCTGAGAACCTTGTTTTTTTTAATCAAAAAAAATTAATTTGTTTTTAATTTTTTGTTCCTGTTCTTTATTGGCTTAACAACTTTATACGATAAATTACATATCTAATGTCTAAGAGTTGAACAAAGCTGAATCAAAAATAATTAGTTTTGTTGTTTGTTCTAAAAATTATTTTCACAATTCCGTCTAGATATTTATTATTTCTACGAATTCTTATCATAATTTGTAGCATAGCAATCTTAATATTTTATGTAATATTATCTTTCAAACATTCATTTTTCTACTTATTGACATCTAAAATGGGAACAAAATCAATTTAATGTAAATATTTTGTGCTTTAAAATTTATTTATAATTTGTAAAAATAATCGAAACAAAAAAAAAGTTTAAGATGTTAATTTCGGGATATTTCCATCAATTTTATATTTACGTTTAAAAAGAAAAAAGTTGATGAAAGTGATAACCTAAAAGGACGTTATCACAAAGGAACGTTAAAATATGGAGAGTTGCAACAACTTTGAAAATTTTGATTGTTCTTTAATACAGTCCTAACGTTTTTCAATTATATCTATTAATATATTTATTGATAGACAATATGCACTTACGTTTTATTTTACTTTAGAAAACTGTTCTATTTATTGAATCTCTGGGAGAATTGATTATTTTAAGAAATTACTTTAGGACTGTATTAAAATAAAAAATATGCAAGTATAGGCGCTCATTACAGTAAAGGTTTTACAATTTACATAAATCCGTTAATAAATATCAATGCATGGCTATCATAAATTTAATCAGTTAATCAGTGGAACTACTTGCATAATTTCTTAAATTTAAGGATGCCGGTAAACACTTTAAATAACTTGTATTTATATCGCCCGCAGATTTCTATGTCATTACGTTGAAATGTCTCGCTTGTGATCTTGTCGGTATCTTGAAACTTTTATTTTTTTTATTTTTTAGCACATTTCATGTGTTTTTCTTTTTAAAAAAAATTGAATCAACCAAAACATTTCCAGGCACGATACTTGCAAGGTTTTCGAAATAAAAATGTTGGTCTTTGTCGTACTACTTGGGCAACTGACCAAATAATATTGAAATAATCCAATCTCTGTTTGCAATAAAATAACAATCTTCACTATACAAAACTTTGATACAACGATGATTTTAACAAAACTGGCATCTCTAAATGTGAAAGGAAAAAAAAAAAAAAAAAAAAAAAATAGTGCGCTTATGGTAAGATTTCTTTGATCGTTGTTGCCTTGGTGTACATGAAAAAATTCCGCTCGTGTTCCCCTGTCCCCTGCACACGCAGACCCCTTTTTTACAGACCTCTCGGGCCTTACCCTGCAATCCGGCGTCGGAGTCGGCCCAGGCGGACGTTTGGTCAAGGATGAGTACAGCGTCGGAGGTGGTGGCACAGCCGCGGCCGCAGCAGCTGCCGGAGTTGCCGTTGGGCCAGGGATGGACGTCGACGGCGAGATGAACCAGACGATACAGCACCATCCGCCCGCCCAATCGGTGACGACCAGCAGCTCCCAACAGTCCCAGCAGTCGTTCATGCCGGGCATGCCTGGGCAGTCGGCAAGTGGTGAGAACGACTTTTATTTTGCGCAATATTTTTTTTAATGTATAGGATTATCGAACGTGTCATTATGAATTGTAAAATCGTAGAATATATTTTAAAGAGATGTTAAGAGAGCTAATTTGTTAGTTTGGCTTTTTTTTTTTTTTTTTTTTTAATGAGCAGTATTTTGTAGTGGTAATCAAAATGAATTAGCACCCATAGTCCTTGATAAAGTATAGCTGTGGTTTGTACAGGTTCTAATGTATGTATAAACGTCTTTTTGAACGCAGATGTAGACAGCATTGGTTTAATCATTGGCTTTTATTAGTTTTTTTTTGTTTTATTTATATCGTACAACATAGTTTTTCGTCGCCTTGATGTAGACCAACTATCAAATAACTATCAAAACACCAAATTTAAAAATAGCATGCACTATACTAGAAAACCTAAGCTTGAATTGAATCATGGTACCATTGACAAGTGCAACTGAANCCGTCCCTCAGCGCTAAACATGCACCATTGTACGTACTTTGTTTACCCCTCTTTCACTCTTTTGCTATACGTAATATATTATTATTATTATTATTCACTGATAATTTACCATAATAAAATAAAGTATGAACAATTTTTACTTGTTTTTTTAATTGTTCGTACGGAAATAATTTTTCTCAACAAAACTTGAAACATGGTACTTACTCATGAATATTAATGACTTAAATTTTTATCACGTTTCGGTGTACCAACTTGTCCTAATTTTTAAATAATTTTGCATATTTTTCGTGCTTCAGCTAAGTTCGTATTCATTTGCGTAAACGAAAAATAACTATTATTACAATAAAAAATAAATTTCAATTATTTAAATGAATAAGTTGAGAAAAACTAAATGATGATTCATTAAAAAAATTCGTGCAGTCTACTTCTAGTACTTGTATATTTTTACGCATTTAATTTTACGCTACATTACATCAGTGCAGAAATATGAAATAATTGTGCCTCAAAGCTGTTTCAATTATCATTATAATAATTAATATCATTTTGTTTCGTTATAGGAATGTAAAAGTTGGTATTTATTTATTGTTAAGATGCATGCTATTTTGTAATTTTAATGTATTTTTCACGTGCTTAAACATTTTTTTATAGCCACTAATGCTTTGCGTATTCGTATACACTCCAGGAGTTGAAATAGTAGCAATAACCGGTTTGTTGAATTTTTGCAATGGTCCTTGGTTATCGGTATACTATAATGGAAAATAAAATACTCCAAAAAATTAATGACAGTCACTACGTGATAAAAGGTTTTTCCTTTTTTTTAACATGTGGTTTAATAAGAAGTAGTCCATATCTCGTAAAACTTTGCAACGTATAAATATCTTTGCGGTTCCACCCGTTTGAAAAAATTATTTAATTAATTCCAATCTTTAATTTCGAATCACATTAATAAGTATCGTTTAAATAAGAGTCGTCGATGTTATATATTTTTTTTGTTTTCATTAATCGCGAATCGTTGATTTATCAAAATAATGCAAACTGATTTTTTTTCCTGTATAAAATAAACGATAATGTAATATTATTTTTCTGACTTCTTATATAGAATCTTTTGAATTTCGAACACTCAATCAATTAAATAAAATATCAAATATTTAACACGTAAATCGGGGATGAAATTAATAGATGCGTTCAATTTATGAGTCGAAACGAGTAACGTCAAATCCGATTCCTTACGAATATGAGGACGTGAGCAAAAGAATTTTATAAATTTTTAAATAATTGGAAATGCCAATTTTTTTCGAAAATTTAATGCATTTTTTTTTTTCATTACTATATAAGTAGGTAGTTATGATACAATACCCTCAATAGGTAATTTATTTATGTTGCAGTGAG